TTTTTTTGTTCGTTGTCGTCCCTCCCCTAACACCGTCCATGTTGCCGTCACTGCTGACCGTTAAGTCCCAAACGGTCAGCAGTTAAACCCATCTCTTTTTTTTTTTTTTTCCACATATGCTGCCCACCTGTGAACCCATTTTCTTCTTTTGAGGAATTGTTTGATGCTGATGAAGTTTTTTGCACGGGAAATGCTGTTTCTATATTGCCTATTGGCAGCATTACTTTCTTGGATAAAAGGCAATTTCTCATTTTCTTTTAATTTGAACAGATTATGTTTCCTCAATATATATTGACTTTGGGGGTTTCATAGCTTTGGTAATGTCATCATTAATGCTGTCACTGTAGATTGCCTAGTAGGTCCAGCATGTACTTTGCACCTAAACTAATACTAGTTGAGTGATGCAAGGTAGCTTATGGAGAAAATGGGTTTGTGTCTCGGCAATTTTACTCAGCACTTACAGATATACAAAGGGGTTTTGCAGAGGACAAAATGGGTTGGATTGTAACCTTGAAGTAGAAGATGCAAGAGATATAATTAGCTTATTTTTGTGAGTTCTAAAAATTATTGTTCATTTACCAATGACTTATGTAATTAAGTGGTAATGCATTTTTTGTGAAAATTAAAGATCTTAAATTCTAATTGCATGATATGCAGGTGAAGTGGATTAAAAGATAAAAGAAAATTATTTTTTATTATACAATTTAAAATTTTTTTAAAAAAAATTGTAGTTCATTTTTAATCCTTCCTCATGAGATGAAAAATTCTCTTTCTTTTTCCAAAGTGAGATCTGTGGTGATATTTTGGTGACTGACTTTGTTTTTTGTTGGTTGAATTTCCCTTTTATGCTGCTGTGATGCATTTGTATTTTAATTGATTATAATGTACCCGTGACATTCTCGCAATTTTACCAAGGGTGTCTCCGTTGAGCAGTGTAACCTACCAGGTCAAAAGGTGAATACATTTTCTTTTATATTGCACATCTAATTAAAATATAAAATTCTAAGTCCTATAGTTAAAATCATATTTTTGCTGGTAACCAAGTGAAAACTAGGGGCATTATGATACAGTCAAAATCAACATAAATTTGAATAAATCTACATAAAATTTAATTTAAAAAATAATACATATTATTAAAATTGGCACTAAGAAGCCACTTCTCTAAATTTAGAGGTAAAAATAAAATTAAAAAAAAAATCAAAAAATGGCAAAAGATCGAAGCTAAGTATGATGAAGTGATCGGGAGACATCGATGATGAAGTTCATGGAGGGAGATGGGACGGAGATTGGTGAACAGAGGTTTTGTAGGAGAAGAGAATTGGTGAAGGAAGAGGATAAAAAAATAATTACAAAATTTATCAACTAAATGCCCTTCAAACTAAAGGTTTATTTGATATAATGGTTAAAATCTAGTGAATAATAGATAAAGGTTAGTGAGTTGTGAATAATGAATAGTAGATTTTGGATAATAATAGTA